ATAGTTATCATTTATATTTATAGCAAAATTTATCGAATAATCGTTAATATAATAAAAGATAATAAATTATTAATATTAAATTCGTAAGTTTATACGAATTTTCCTGAAATTTATATCATAAAACACAAGATTGAATTTTTTTGTTTATCTTGTTTTGTCGAAATTTTCTATAGACTCTCTGTGTAACTGTATCAAAACATCGAAAGATGTTGTTTTTACTTTTTATGCACGATAATATCAGCATACTAGGATAATTAACAAAAATTAATTATTTTATCTTTATTATGCAACGCTTGTGTAATCTTAACTCGATGATTCTCGAAATTTTCACTCGTTCACATTGTGCTTCGATCACGCGTATGAAAAATACAGAATAAAAATGCAAAAAAAAAGAAAAACAATCAAATCAAACAATCTGTTTCCTAATTAAAAAATCAAATACGTTTCTGTTTTTCTAATTAAATAATCAAATGTAAATTTCGTCTAAGAAAATTTCGAATAAACGGCTCGAGTGAAAGAAGTATATTTATTGTTTAAATGTGATTTTTTTTTTTTTTAATTGATGTATAAGTTTTTTTTTATTAGTTTAGTAATTTGTAGAGCACGAAATATCGGGAAATCGGAAAATCAGAGAGTTAAATTTTCTTTCTAGTTGATCTGAAACTTCTGAAAAGGTCAGCGGGATTACCAAAAACATAAATTTAGCATTTGGAAACATCGTAACCGTCCTCTTTTGACGAGTGACCATCGTTCAACTGTATATTCGTTCGTCGTTATTTTTAGATGACCATTTATTTGTTTTAATATAAACACATTGCTGCACTTTTCAAAATATTCACGCAAATAATATTACATTACTTTTTAAATTTTTCTTAAATCTTATGCGCAGAAAAAATAGAGAATTATTGTAATAGAAAAAAAAAAAAACAAAAATCAAAACCATATTTCGAGAAAACTTGGAAAATACCAATATATATAGACAAATTGAAAATTCGATGCTCGTTAAAACCAGGGTTAGTTTACTCACAAAATATTATGTTTCATGAAATAAAATAATCATTTTCCTCGAAATTACGTAAAATTTCACGAAACTTTTCAAAATTTATATTTTGAATCAAACGAAATATTACTTGTTTCGAGAGAGAAAGAGAGAGAGAGAGAGAGAGAAGTCAACCAGTTATCTGGTTGATTTTGTTTATACGACGTTGAAGAGAGCGGTTGATATGTCAGCCAGACAGACATTGGCGATTTTTCAATACGTCGAGACGCATAAGTACCACTCTTGAAGTCGTCACTGCACTACGGCAATGATTCTATTATTAACTTAGGCGTAGATTACAGTCGTGTAGCGGAGACCTTGATTATAAACGCGTACATAACAGCTGTTCCATTGTACGAGTATCAAACAACACATAGATTTACGAGTATACTTCTCATCGCTTCCTGTTTTGGAACGCAACGCGAATAAGTCATGCTGGAGTTTGATCCTAACAACGGGTCGTTGAATTGTTTTTTCTTTTTTTTTTTTTTTTTTTTTTTTTTTT